ATTATTATATTGAATAAACTCATTTTTCTGTTTGCACGTCAACATTAGTAAACGAGGCCCAGCGTGCAGTTCGTCCCCGTGTTAACGAGTCTTTTGTCCTCGTGACAGAACAGAGAAAACGACTCATCGTGTTCAAACATTTATATTTCTTTGTGTTCAATCATCTTCTGGAAGAGAGAGCGACCTGCACAGCTCTAACATTTGTAGCTCCACGTGTCTTCTATGATGTTATTTCTGTACTTCAGACGTCACAGTTTCAAACATGGCTTATATGGAAAGTTTATCTATTACTATCCCTGTGCACTAAGACTTCCTGTTGTTCAGTCTGGCCGAGCATCAGTGAGTCAACACTGTCCTCGCTCTACAAGCCTTCATTATTAAAGCACATAAAACAATCTAACAGGAGAATAAGGATACTGAGTCTTATTGGTGGAGCTCTAACACGTCAAACACTGATTGGCTCCCTCACGTGTGCTTCCTGAGCTCGATCTCTCTCCACTTTTTAAAAGCTGTCCTGCGTCGCGGTGCTCGCAGGGTCAAAGGGCACAGGGTTGAAAAGTGGCCTTGTGTTAAAGGTCGGGATGCGGCGACTCGGTCGGCGCGAGCCTCTGGTGCCTCCGCGGCGTCTGCAGCTACAAACAGACTCGCATGCCAAACCAACGCCGCTTCCTCCCACGGCCCGGCGGGGAGGACGGGCTGTGAGAACTACGGCTCACACGGGGATCCGTTTGAATCGTCGCCTCACTTCCTGCTCGCTGACTGGAGACGTGGAGGTCGTGTAATTTGAAGCCGTCCTCTCCTGCAGCATCCTGACTCTGCAGAGGGAGCGCTGCGACCCGACAGACCTCAGGGTGAAGCTTTCAGGTTACACTTGTTACCTTTGACCTTTGACCTTTCTACTTTTACGATAGGTGCTTCACGGGGTTTAGGGGAAGATGCTGAGCCGTGGCTCGTCCAGCGAGCGCAGAGCTTCAGCAGAGGAGGACGTTCAGACGCCTGTGGTGCTCTCAGATGTTTGCAGGTTATAACAGGAGTAATTTAGATTTCACTGGGGGGACGGCGTGCACACATGCATAATGAGACTCAGAGGGAGGCGGAGGCTGGAGGCTGGAGGCTGTCGGGGGGGGAGGCAGACAGCGAGTCTTTGTGGTGCGCCGGACAAAGAGCGTTTCTCAGTTTGGGTCGGCGGAGGAACAGATCGGACTTCAGCTCTGCTTCTCGTTTGCAGGGAGAAGACGACATGAAGCTGCTGCTGCTGCTGCTCTGCTTCGGGACGCTGCGCGTGGGTGAGTCACGGTTCCTCCTCGCCATAAACCCGCCAGAATGTGAAGCCACGATCGCTGGGAGACACCTGCTGATGTCACCTCCCAGATCACTTCCTGCTGTAAATGATTGAAGTCAAAACTCTGGGAATGAATTCTGCTTTTCCAGATCTCAAATGTTTTTCTTTAACTAGATTTAATCGTTTTTACCAGAGGAGGAAAAGTCAGAGCTGCATCTGAACATGTTGATCTGTGTTTGCTCTCATGTGGAGAATAATTCAAAATGTTCTGCTGAGAATATCAGTGATTCAAGAAAACTTTATTGTCATTCGCATGTTTACATGAGACGAAGCTACGTAGAAGCAGGTGTAGAGGTGTAGACGGGAAGTGTTGGACCTGAATATGAAAACAGCTTCAGAGTTTTGTTTCAGTAATAAACGGGGACACGTAAAGGTGTCAGACACACTGTTGCTGTGTTCGATCTTCATGGACAGAGCTCTGATAGGCCGACAGCGAGAGCTGCGATCACGTCAGCCTGCGACCGTGTCGTCCAGGACGAGCGCTGCCAGAATAAATGGTTTTATTTATGAGTCAGAAACGCTGCGTGCCCGGCTGCAGGCTCGGTCGTGTTTCAGTGTGTCTGTGTGCAGATCATCTGTCCTGCTCATGCTGTGGAGCGTGGCGTGAGGTGTGGCGCCGTGAG